TTTAATTCTTAATTCTCCTAAAGCTTGTTTCCCAAAAGTAAAGACTGTGTTTGTTAGTATTAACGATCTGAATTAATTGTCATGATTTTTTTTTCCAAATAAGACCGTTAGTTTTTATTAGGAATTTGGGATTTTTAGGATCAAATAATATGAAAAAAAATCATATTAAAAACTTAATGTATTATTTACTTTTAGTTTGTTATCCATTTTGTTGGTTTTTCTTCCTTGTGTTATAAGTTATACTGATTTCAGGATGTTAACATAAGGTTCTAATCATTATGGTTACTTTTAAAGACCCCATGTAATGACTGTTACACGGGAGTTACTTTATGCATGTTTTATGTTCTTGGATATTGAAGTGTGATAGTTCTTGTGCTTGCCCTCCTGTGCCTCCAACGTGTCTCAAATGGACCACAATCCACAGTGTCGATTAATCCTGGAGAACATCTGTGGGGATCTGGTGCCTCCAGCCAATCCAACCTTTGAAACTGGGGTAGCTCAACAGATTACATAGTCAGCTTATTGCTTTCTTTCTCTCCTGGCATTGGGGACTGGTGTTTGGCTAGAGCTCATTCCACAGCTATCTCAGATGACAGTGTGGTAGTGGCCAGTCTTTATAGGTTAGGACTCTTAAAGACCATCGAACTACTGTTTAACTTTCTGTGCCATCATGTCTTAATTTGAGAAGCTTCTTGATAGGAACCAAGTTTTTTAAAGCATGAAATTTGTCAACTGATTTACAATAGAAAATAAGAATGCTATTTTTAAAAATAGGGAGGTAGGGAGAGAAGATTCATATGAGTTAGGTATTATGTTTGCTAAACAACTTTATTATATATTACATATACAAGTTCCAAGTAGCTTCTTTCTTTAGTACAGAGTTTCCATACTTCATTCTACAGTGTTGCAGTAGAGAATTCTATAGTTGCTTTAATAAACATTTTACAAGAATAAACATTTTACAGGAATCTCACCTTAATTAAATAAGTTAACTTTGTAAATTTATTCTATAAACAAAGTATTTACATAATATATGGCAAATCTGACTTCCTGCAATTAAGGATGAGCATGGAATTGGAAATGAGATTTACTCCCAACTACCTCATAAAACTTTTCAAAATATAGAGGATTTTCAAGGAGTTTTTTTCCAACCAAATATAAATAGATGATAAATAATCAAATAATATTGCATTAAAGTTTGATAAAGAGTAAAACAATGCTTAGTATTTTCATATGAAAACAATAATGATACATCCTGTAGAATGCTGGGCAGAATAACACACAAGCTACAGAAATGTTTACTTTTCTAACCTTCAAAAGGAGTTTCTCCTTTTTCTCATACATCTTTATTGCTGGAACAGTCTATTTAAAGCAATCTGTATTTTGGCTTCCAACTCCAGTGTTACAATTTCAGAACATAAAGTTCTTCTGTTTTCACATCTGTTACTCGTTTCTATCTTTGGCTGAAGACAATCTTAAATACATGTTGCACAGTAGTGTCTCAGATATGCTGATTTTATGGATAATTTGGAGACCCTTTTTCCTCTGTCCAAGGAAGAACTAGCTAGATCATAAAGAGCATTCTCTTGTGGCTATTGCATTATTAAAATTTGTCGTTAACCTGTAAACTAATTTGCCTCTTTAATGAAAAGTTGTTTTCTGGATTCTTATTTACCACTCAGAATCAGTAGTAACCTTAGTTAGCTAACTATAGCATGACAGGCTCCATGAAACAGACCAGGACTTTGGATTAAGCCTACCCACAGGGTTGGAACAAGTATTAGGAACAGGGTCACTCCATGAACTCTACCTGTAAGTCCAGACAGTGCATTTCACAGAAGTATAGCTAATATATGAAATTTATTGTGCAATTATTTTCAAAGCATATAATAATATAAGAGAAAGTCCAGAGCCTTGTGGGTTATAAAAAATCAAGAAAGTAAGAGTAAATGGGAACTAGTCTAAGTTGTTCTAAGTTGTGTGTGTTTTCTGCTTCCAGGGAAAATGGCAAGAATAAGGTTCTTGTGATTGGCATAGGACATGATGTACTGTATCAAAACTGGTTCTTGGACACAATACCCATACCATGGTATAAGGTGATAATCTGGTTCTAAGTTTAAGGCAAGAGCTTGGTTATGAGAACTGAGGCCCAGGTCATAGAGAGGTTGTAAGTGGACATGACATGATGCTACAGTTCTGAGCCTGGCCTGTTGTTGCTGTTAGTTACCATCAGGTTGATTTTCACACATGGTGACCCTATGTGTGCAGAGTAGAATTGCCCTTTAGAGCATTCAAGGCCGTGACCTTTCAGAAGCAGATCGAGAGGTCTGTCTTCTGGGGCCCTTCTAGGTGAGTTTGAACTGTCGACTTTTTGGCTTGTAGTCAAGTGCTTAACCATTTGTGCCACCGAGGGAGTATGGATAATGGGCCTCTCAAAAAAACAAACTCACCTCCATTGACATGATTCCAATTCACGGCAACCATACAGGACAGGGTAGATTTATAAAACTAAGAACTCGGTTGATAATTGTCCAGTGGCATGGCAACAGAAGGTGAGGGGAAATGAGGAGCTAACAGTAATGAATATGAGAAGAATATGTTCTGAAATTGTGATGATTGCACAAATATTCTTAATAAGGTTAAATGATTAAATTGTATAGGTGAAGTGTGAAGTATATGCCAATAAAAAATATTTTTAAGAAAAATTTACCGTCTTGGCAGCCCACCTGGCAGTTCTACTACTCTGTTCGATAGCACTGCTACAAGTACGAATCAACTCCACGGGACTTGGTTTGGCCTGGTACCTTTACTGTTGTCCCAGGGCCCCTGGGGGTGAATGTGGGACACTAGCTAAACCCACCAGCTGCTTTGCAAGAGAAAGACAAGCAA